TTTGTGACGCAGCAGCTTTTCAAGGTAGAGAGAGAACCTGAACTGCCAAGAACAAGTCCCTGAGCTCAGCAAGTCCAGCTTCGTGGAAACTGCCTCCTCCTTCAAAAGCAGATGCAGAAACTACTATCTGCTTCCCCATGCTTTCCTGATACGTTTCCTATATTCTTTCTAGAAAATGAGCTGATGCCATCTGGTTTTCTTCCCCTTTTTTCTGCTTTGTTGCTTATAAGAGGTTTTGTTGTTGTTGTTTAAATAAAAGCTAGTCTTTTCTATGTGCCTATCATTTTCCAGACAGCTTTTCATTCTTTCTCTCTTTTATTCATTTATTTAGCTGCCTTACTGAGTACCTGCTCTGTACCAGGCATTGTGCTAAGTGCTGGGGATGCAGCAATGGACAACATAGATCATGTCTGAACACGCTACAGTTGTGTAGCACAGCATTGTGGTTAAGCCCACGAGGCTGGACACAGGCTCAGGGGTTCAGCCTCTCATTACCATGAACTAGTTATTGATCTGAATCACTTACCTTGCATCTCTGTTTGTTGTTCTAAAATGATAGATAAATGTCAAAAACGGGAACATTATTCATCTCAAGGGATTGTTGTGAGGATGAAATGACATATCTTTGTAAACTCTTGGCACAGTATTTCAGTGACGGGCAATTAGCAGAAACGGGAAATTGTGACAGAATTATACAGAAATAAGCACTAGAATCGGTTTGTAAGGGGAGAAAAAGGCCATGTATTCTTGCCTGGGTGGGTCACAGAAGGCTTCCTAGAGGAAGTAAGATCTAAGCTAAGGACAAACAAGTGAGCGAAATTATTAGTTGAGAAAAGAGGAGCAGGACATTTTAGCTGGAGGAATAAGGTCGAGGTTAGGCTTTTAAGCATGCAACTCCCAGTTACGTTCCATGTGGCTGACTATGGAGCATCGGTCCAACGAGGAAGCTGGAACCAAATCAGGGGCTTACAGATAACATTTTTAAAAACTGAGAACTATGAAAGTGATTTCAACTAGGCAATATTTTGATCAGGCCTACTTGTCAGATCTACTTGTAGAAATATCCGTTTGGCTACAGTGTGAAGTGTGGATAGAAAAGAAAACACAAGGGACAAGAAAATCCGTTCAAAGGCTCAGATTGACCCAGGAAGAAAATAGTGATGGCCAGTACAGAGTATAGTGGTGGGGACATCGGGAGGCAAAAGCCACAGATCTGGGCAAAAGGTTTAGTGTGTGGGAAAAGGAAGACAAAAGGGTCAAAGATGCTTCCATTGCTGGATGATTCCATCCTTCTGTTGATGAAAACATTTATTGAGGTAGAGAACTGAATAAGAGAAACATATTTTGGAGCCAAAGCAATGAGTTTGTGTGCGTTGAGTTAGATGCAGATGGGACCTCCAAGTGAAGATATCTAGTAAGCAGTGAAAATTATATCTGAAGGCCATGGCAGATCTGGGCTGGAGACAAGGTAAGATAATTTACCAGGGTTTCCTACCCAAGATGTTTCTATTTTTTTTAAGAAAATTACCAATGACTTCATAGTCTGGGACACAAAGAAAATTATCCTAGATTTTCCTTACTCAGTGAAGAGTATCTTGGTTGGTTCCTAACTTAGATAAATGTGAGACTTACTGTCTTACTAGAGGGAGATAATGACCCCTTTGTGTAAAAAAAAAAAAAAAAAATGTCTTTTAAAATCTGCCTATGCCATCCAAGAGAGTATGTGCTTTGATGGGAAAGATTATCAGTCAAGATAAGCTAGTTTCTGCTGTGGTAACAAATAGTCTGAAGAATGCCTATGGCTTATGGCAGTAAAGGTTCTATTTCTCATGCCTGTTACATGTCCATTATGGGTTAGCAGTACCCATAATGACAAAGCAATCATATTTCTAACCTTGTCACTGCGTACCAGAAAGAACCAGCAATGGCACGCTCTTGCCTGGAAGCGACTCACATCACATCTGCTCAAAAGTCATTGATCAGAATAGTCACATGGCCCCATGAAATAAGAAGAGGGCCACAGAGTGCATTAAGATCATATGCCTGGGAAGTAGAGAGCCAGAATTTCCTGGGAAATGGCATAAATGACTACCACAGAAGAGGCTGTGGGCCTGGAACCTATCCCAGCCCAGCTCTCATGCAACCAGCCTAGATAGTGGCCAAGTACGTGAACGAGTCTGTAACATCTTTAACACTTAAGGATCAAGAGAGAAGGATCACACACTCTATCTCTGGAGCTTTAACACATGGGGCTGCTTCTCTCCAAGATCTTCTGAGAAATAGCTCCCATCAGCACCCTTGGATGCAGCGGCTGGCACCACACTCCGAACCAACTGAGCTTCTCTAGCGCAAGCAGTACGTCCCCTGTGTGACCCTGTCTTCCACTGAAGCTTCCCCTAAAGTTCTGAATAACCTCATTTCTTGAGTCATCTCAAGGGAAGACTCAAATGTTTCTGTGTATCTATGTAGCCTTGTGCCATCAAAGATACTTCAGCGTCCAGCTGCTCTGGTCCACCGTGACCTTATGACATTATGTCATAAGGTGGGGACATCAGGAGGCAAAAGCAACAAATCTGGGCAAAAGATTCAGTGTGAGGAAAAAGGACTAACACCAGTTCTTTTCCTACTGCTTTGACCCTGGGCCCTGAAGAAGTGCCTGAGGGAGCAAGAAGAATGAGTTTCAATCCTGCAGGCTTTGTGTAACTTGAATGAAGGCCCCTTGCCTTAAGCGGAACCTTGAGAAGTTGAAAGCCCACAATCACAGAGTAACTACTCTCAAAGATAACCTTCTACCCAATAACTAGTGGTCACTATGGACATGAGGATATGGCCCAGCCTCTGCTCAGCAGACAGCAGAAACCAAGCTAGCAGAAACCAAGATAGGGCCAGGCAGGATTGGACTTCTCCTCCTCAGGAGACCAGTTGGGCCTCTGAGACGCCAGGACCCATGAAGAGGTGGGGAGCAAAGGCCGGGCTAGGGAAGTGAGGGATGGATGGGTCAGGCCTCTGAATTTCTTGCACCAACTTGTGGTGCCCAAACAGTGCCCTCTGGACCCTCTGGACACTGATTAGGGTATGTTTGTTTGAACCTAAATTGTGTGGTGGACACTTAAATATATAAATGATCATTGATGTATTGGATGTAAGGGGATTGTGTAGCAAAGGGGTATAAAAGAAGAGGATCCAGAACAGAAACTCAGTACCAACAACTTTAGGATGGGGACGAGGGAGCCGAGAAGACACCGGAGACTGAGAAGTGTCCACGGAGCTAGAAAGAATTAATCAAAGTGTGGTTCTTGCAAGCCAAGGGAAGAGAATGTTTCAAGAGAGTAGGATCAGTCAACGTTTTTGGGAAGCCACAGAAGACAGTCATTTAGTAACTAAGATGGCCGTGGTAAGCTGACCAGAGCAATTTCAGTGGAAGCATCAGTGTAGGAACCACAGAACTGGACGTGGAAGATAACAAGGAGATGAGAAAGGAAAGGTAGAAAGTAAGCAATGTCATATACATTCCTTTCAACCTTCACATCAATCAAGTAAGCCAGGTATTGTTTTCTCCCCTTTAAAAAGTAGGAAAAAGAGAGTTGCCCAAGATAGTCCAGCTGGGAGATGACGTAGCTAAGATTAAAACACAAGTCTGAGTGGCAGAAAGACAAAGTCCTTTCCACACACCACTGCCTCCCGAAGCACTTAGCCACCTGTGTATCTCTGCTGACAATGTTGGACATTTCTGATATAACACTGCACTCAACAGTGGGACAGAGAACTATGCAGTATGCTTGTCTGCTAAGAGAGAAATAAAGTTAGATGGAAAATTGGGAAAAAACCACCAGCACCTCTGCTCTTCTCTTTGCAGCAACGTGTGTGTTTGTTTTCGTGGGCCTTGTTTGTGGACTCCTACTGAACATCTCAGAATTCTTTGGACTCAGATACCTCTTTGCCGTAGTGCAAATATGCTGACCTGCCAAAAGTGTACTACAGACTGTGCCTCTTTCAAAAACCAGCTTGAACTGATTGTTCTTCAGCTCCTCACATAAATTGCAGAACATGAGGCCCACAGCTTTGCCCAAAGTTGTCAACAGGTTTTTATTGCCTCTGCTTTTCTGTACACACAGATGGCTTCGTTAAGCTGCTCTGAGCAGACCTCTGCTGTCTCCACTAAGAAAAATTAGACACAACAAATGGAAATCCATTTAAAAAGAAAAATTATAATAAGGTAAAGTCCTAAGTAACTGTGGCTATTTTTTATGAAGGTAACTGCTGTGACTAGTAGCCATGACAGTGCAGAGATAGAGGCAAATTAAGAAAAACTGTAATGAAAATGTGAACTTCTGAAGGCAGGTGCAGAAACTAGCCAGAAAAGTAGGCAGAAGTGTTTGGAAAGGAGGGGAGATTCTTTTTTACTAATGGCATCTATAATAGGCCTTTAATTTTAAGTTTCTTTTTCCAGGTTCACTCAGCGAAGCTAGAAATGGTTCAACAATTTTTCTTGTAGGACTCTGTCTTTCAGAAATACCACAAGTGTGTAGAGTTATTTTAAAAGATTATATTACAACACTGTTTATAGTAGCAAAAAGTTGGGAGCAAACTATTAGGTTGGTGCAAAACTAATTGCTGTTTTTTGCTATTGAAAGCAATAATTAGTTAAATGTAGTTTATATAACAAAACATTGTATACTTAAAGTTAATAATGATATGAGCCAAAGCTCATAGAAGATCAAAGGTGCTTTCACAAGCATCTTGCATGTTAAGAGGCATTGCTAAATCGCACCATGTAAAGATGGTACCAAATCACATTTCCACCAACAATGTAGGAAAGAACCTATGTCTCTACATTCTAACCAATGCAGCATGTATTACTCATGTTATGCGTTAAAAATAGATAAGTAAATGATGTATCATTATCATTTTAATTACCATTTCCCTTATTATAAATAAAATTGAACACCATTTTGTTTCATTTGAGAACAATCATTTATATCTTCTTTATTATAAATTACCTTTTCGGGATCAGGCACAGTGGCTCACATCAGTAATTCCAGCATTTTGAGTGGCTGAGGCAGGGGACTGCTTTAGCCCAGGAGTTCAAGATCCACCTGGACAATATAGTGAAACCTTGTCTCCTCTAAAAAAAAAAAAAAAACAGAAAGAAAGAAAGAAAATAAATAAATAAATTATTCTTTCATATCCTTTTTTCTTTTCCCATTGGGCTTTGGTCTTCATATATATATATATATATATATATGTATATATATATGCTTATATATATATATGTATATATATATATGCTTATATATATATATGCTTATATGTACATATATATATGAAATTGACCCTTTCTCCTTTTGTGTTCTTTGTTTAAAATTTTTTTGCAATGCAATTGTTTTGTCAAAAAGTTACCAGCTTTTAATGGTTTTATTCATTATTAGAAAATATTTCTCTATTTAAATTTTCTGAATCTTGTATACTTTAATAATACTTTTACTTTCCATTTTGAACACCTGAATTGTAACCAATCTGTAGATTTTGGTGTATATAATATGTAGATGGGAATTCAGTCTTTTCCCAGATAATTATAAAGATGACCCAAAACCATTAACTCAGTAGTCTCTATCTTCTTTCGCTGTATTAAAATTTCACCTATATCATCTACTAAATTACTAATATGTAGTGTTTCTGAACTTTCTGTTTTATTTATTGGTTTTCCTATATAAGTGCCACTACCATGTTGTTTTAATTTTGGTAGCTTTAAAATATGTTTTGATATAGAACAGATATAATCCTCTTTGACTGTTTTTTTTTTTTTTAATTATTCCTGGCCATTCTTACTTATACATTTTTTTCACATGATGTTTACAATCTATTTAACTGGTTAAAAGGTTGTTGGAATCGCATTACATTTATGGATTAACTTGAGGAGAACTTTACAAAGTTGAGTTATTCTACCCATGAAGAAGCCACAGTTTTTTCCAGTAGAATTATTTATTGAATGAAGAGGGACAAATCCATCTCTGTGCCAGGGGTGTCAGAATCCTAACGCAAAGCTTCATCTACAGGCCCATTCATTTGATTGACACAAAACCTAGCCTTGGCTTAGTTACTTGTTTCTAATTTTGTAGAGAAAGATATTCAATAGCAAATAAGGCTTCTCTGAATGTTCCATTTTCACATGAAGGGCAGAACCAAGATTAAATGAGTCATTCCCAAGTGGAATGCCTTTATTTAGCAATTCATTGATCTCTGACATTTATGCAACCCAAAACACAGTTTAGTTCTGTTTCCTCATCCCAAACACTGCATAATGGCTCACTCAATGAGAAAACATCTAAAATTATCTCATTTGAAGTTGCTTAAGAAAATAAGCATTCTTGATAAGCATTTGCTAATTAACTTTGAAAGATGTCAAATTTCTTTGCCCATTGATGGTCTTGGAAATTTCCTTATTAAATATTTTCATTATGTAATGGTCACATTAGTTGACAATTTCATTGTGTAATTTTAGCAGATTGTCATCAACTTCCTATGTAAAGAAGATCACCCACTAATGATTGACTGATTTTTCTAAGATGAGTTGAGAATAAAAAAAAGGAAACTACCATATCCTCACAGGTGTGAAGAAGCTCACTCAGTGCTAATCAAATAAAATGTTGCTGCTGAAACACAGACCATAAGCTCTGGACTCATTCAGGGTCATTCTTCTTTTGTCTTGAATAGTGTGTGTTTCCTACCAAATATCTTTATGGTCCAGTCCTGTAGTATCTAACAAGTCCAATAGCCTTTCTTCATTTCATTCTAGCTCTGTTGCTTTTAGTTTAAATTGTGAGTGTTTCTTCTGGGGTGTCTGGGTCCCTGCATCACACTCATAATAATCTCCTTCCCAAATTGTTGTTCAGACATCAGAACAAGCTTTCTATTCAGAACAAGCTTTTTAGATTTTGCAATATAAATAAGCTGAGAATTTTCCAAACTTTTAAGTTCTGCTTCCTTTTGTTTAACAATTCCTTCATAAATTCACTCCTCTCTTATTGCATTTTACTGTAAGCAATCAGGAGGAACCAAGCCATTTCAACACTTAACTTAATCTCTTCAGCTAAATATCCAATTTCATCACTCACAAGTTTTACCCTCCACAAAACGCTAGAAGACAGTTCAGTCTGTTCTTTGTCACATTATGACAGAGATCACCTTTCCTGCAGTTTCCAACATGTTTCTTATTTCCTTGTGAGACCGTAATTACCAGAATGGACTTTAAGGTTCATATTTCCACCAGCATTCAGTTAATGATTATTTATGCATACTCTAAGAAGTTTACTATCTCTTTGTCTTGGTAGATTTTTCATATGCACTTTAAAAAGTTTCTTATTGTTAGATAAAATGTCTTATAAATGGCAATTAGTCCAAATCAGTTGATAGTGTTAATCAAGTCTTCCCAATCTTTGCTGATTTCCTACCTATTTTTTCTATGCATTATTGAGATTGAAATATCTGACTATAACTATAAACTTATCTATTTTTCCCTTCAGTTCTATAATGTATTTGGAAATTTTATTTTGGGGCACATAAATGTTCAGCATTGTTATGTCCTCTTGATTAATTGACCCCTTTTTATTTATGAAATGTCCTTTTTTGTCTCTAATAATATTCTTTTGTTCTGAAATCCACTTTGTCTGATATTAATATAGCCATTATGTTTCTTTTTATTAACATATCTCTTTCTGTCCTTTTGCTTTTAACCTATTTGTGTTTTTATATTTAAAATGTGTTTATTGAAGGCAGAATATAGTTAGTTCTTGTGTTTTTATTCATCTGACCATCTCTGCCTTTTAATTGCAGTGTTTAGATCAGTTACATTTAGTGTGATTACTGGTAGGGTTAAATTTAAGTTTGTCATCTTGCTATTTCTTTTCTATTTGTCACATCTGTACTTTTATTCCTTTTTCCTTTTCATTTTTTAGAATTCCATTATATATCCTTTGTTGGCTTATGAACTATAACTGTTATTTTAGGTGTAATGTGTATTTGTATGTTTTTAACTTGTTATGTACCATAATTATACAGCATATATAATTAAATAAAATTATCTAGTACATATAATTATATATTTTATATAGTGTAAAACATAAAATTATATTCTATATATATATATTGTATATAGTATAAAATACATAATTATATGGTATGTCATATATAAGTAATATTATATTGCCAAGAACCATGAGAATCTGATATTTTACCATACTTGCAAGCTAATGAGTTAGCCTGCTACAGTTTTAGAGATGCTGGTAAAAGATATAAGACTTCTGGGTCAGAAATGAAAAACAGTTTATTAATTATAGCAATAGCAGTAGCCAAAATACGAGCTTTTTTGTCAGTTCTCTGAAATCTAATTCACACATGCACATTCATCCCATCCAAAGAGCACCAGATGCCACCTGCACATGCAGAGGGTTGAAGCTGCAAAATATGAGTGCTTTATTATGAGCAGTGTGTATGTTCTTTATTCCAGGCAACAGCACTATTCCTATATTCCAAGGATGTTTGCTATATAAACAAATGTAGGTAGAGATATGTTTGCTATACAAACATCCATGAAAAGATAATTTAGAACAAAGGGCCTTCCTTGCAACTGCCTTGCCTGTCAGGCATGCAGAAACACAAGAGAACCATGGAGAATTGTTTACCAGTGATACCCACCCTATATTTTTACACTGTCCTGGCTTCTGGTGAATTACCCTATGATACTCCACTTTGTCAATAATTACGATTAATCTGACCCCCAATGGGGACTCAAATCCTTTCCATTTGTTTCATACAACATTTAATTGAGACTACTAGTAATAAGACTCCAAGCAACAGGACAAGGCAAACCTGCAGTATTGATTTCAATCATGCTCCCAGTGTCCCAGACCCAACCAGCTGAACAATTCCCATAAACCATAAGGGTTTAAGAAAACCAGCCAGTTTTATCATTGTTTCTACATGAACCTTCCTCCTTCATCCAAGGCATTACTCCAGGCACAGCAGCATACATTAGTGATTGCACAGACTGCCTTGGCTTGCAAAGAAGAAGCCTGAATTCGATTATCCATAACAACCCTGGCCACTGAGTTGAGATTCGTCTGAATGTTTTCCAGATTCTAGGTGGTGCTAACGATCACTTGTTAAGATCAGGAACAAATTTTATACAACCTTTTCTAATTAGATGGGTTCATCTTAGGGATGATTGCATAATGCACATAAATAATAAGTAAATTAACCCTCTGGGAAGCTCCTCCCAAGCAAACCAGGATATGCCCATTAGGTGATATCTATACAGTCATTTGAGGCTAAGTGATCTATTAGTAGAAATCTCTTAAACCCTTGAGGTTCTCTTTAATGATCATCTTTAAAGTGAAGGTGACTCTGTTCTCAGGAGGAAGGCAAATTAATGCCTGGCTTCCACATGAGTTCCAGGAAGTATGTGGCTACTAGAAAGAATATATTGCTTACAATCATTGAGATTCCAAAGCAAGATTCATATCCGTCAAGGATACAAGGATACAAGGCTCTAATAGAGCCTTGTGGCTAGCTGTTTGGCCTTAGGTTTCCTGCTCAGTTCAAATAATTGAGTCTAGTCCTTGTTTTTTGAGGGAACTGCCTGAAGGGACATGTATAACCTGGCCCATTTGTTTATGCTGCCAACTAGGTGACATCCATTCACTCCATGGAATGGCTGAGTCTCATAAATGGGGCTTTATAGGTATTGTATGTGTGAAAGGGGAAACATGGTGAGGTTAAGGGAAATGGCAATCTCATAGAGGCAGGAGCTCTCCAGTGGAGAATAGCAGATCCAGTGATCAGTTAAATTTAAGAAGCATGACCAGCTAGAAGAGCCACACCAGTGGGAAATGATCTAGGGGTGATCCTGAAAGACAATGATCAATAATGTTCTTCCTTCTTTGTACATCCTGAAATCTAGTGTTTCCAACTCAAGTGTCAAAGTTGTTCTCCCTTCACCATTACAAACTTGAAGTTTCCTGTTCCAGTAGGCATGACTTCA